TTCAGTATTTGAGTTGTGTTTATAACTCAAAAACCGTAATGACTAGAAAAATTCTACGTGCACCATTGGATTCCACATGAAAAAATCTATTAGAACCCGTTTTTACTTTTTTATTAAGTTTCCGGATAGCCGAGATACAGAAGGTGTCTGAAAATCGTAAATTTCAAACATTTCCTGTATATCAAAAACGAAGAGAGTTATGAAAATTTGGTTTGCGCCACTGTAAGTTTCACAAAAAAGTAGCTCAGGTTCGCGAATGCCGCAACTTTCTATTTTTCATAATAACTGAGATACCCTGCAAACCCATCGAAATTTGGACACCCTGTACAATCTGTTAAATAGGATTCTATTATTTTATTAGCAACGTCTCTTATGCCATAGTAGCGTAACCATCCCAACAGTGTCTTGTGGTCAACTGTATCGAACGCCTATCTGACTTCTATATTCAAGTTTTTATTAAAAGCTTCTAATATAGATTCGATAATACTCGCCCCTACAGTTATCATCGATCTTTGTCTGCCAAAGCCATGGTGATTTTCGTTTCAAATGCTGCCGCTATTAAAGTATTCTTCTATACAGTTACATATGGCAAAGCTCCCACTTTTATAGATGGGAGCTTTTTTCAATAGGTCAGGAAAATTTCCATCTAAAAAAGTATTATTAATCATAATGGAAACAGCATCGGCTATACAGGGTGATTCACATAACAACCGACACAGAACAGGGACATGTAGAGGACAATAAAATAAGACGATTTAACACAACTTATCTCTATACTAAGTTGTACTCCTGAGGAGTTGTAGGCCTTCAAAGTTGGGTCTTAAATTTTTAAAACATTGAATATCTTCGTAATACATTAAGTTAGAAAAACCAAATTTGGTATACGTTATGAGTGTACCGAGGGTATTAATTGGTAGCAAGTTGAAACAAATTGAGGCATTTGAAAGGGTTGATTACGGGTGATGGTCCCCTAAATTTTGACAGATTTTTTTAACCTTTTGGTGGATTTAACACATTATTACCTCATTTCATGTGGAATTTAATTCTAAAACTTTTTTTACTCTTATTATTTTTTAAAAAACATTGTCGTTTTCATAAAAAACTCAAATAACTAAAGACACGTATTTCGTTAATGCTACTTAAAATCATCGAAAATTCAGTAGTCGGCTGTGAAATTGTACGTCAAACTTGACAAATAGGTTATAAAACGTTGTCATCAAATAACTTTATAACCTATTTGTCGAGAAATTGTACGTCAAACTTGACAAATAGGTTATAAAACCTTGTCATCAAATAACTTTATAACCTATTTGTCGAGTTTGACGTACAATTTCATAGCCGACTACTAAATTTTCGCTTCTTTTAAGTAAAATTACGAAATAAGTGTCTCTAGTTATTTAAGTTTTTTATGAAAACGACAAAGTTTTTTAAAAAATAATAAGAGTAAGAAAAGTTTTAGAATTAAATTCCACATGAAATGAAGTAGTAATTTATTAAATCCGTCAAAAGGTTAAAAAGATCTGTCAAAATTTAGGGTACCATTGCCCTTAATCAACCCTATGAAATGCCTCAATTGAGTTCAATTTGCTACCAATTAATACCCTTGGTACACTCATAACGTATACCAAATTTGGTTGTTCTAGCTTAATTTATTACGAAGATATTGAACTTTTTAAAAAATTTAAGAGCCAACTTTGAAGGCCTATAACTTCTCAGGTGTACAACTTAGTATAGAGGTAAGTTACTTTAAATCATCTTAATTCATTGTCCTCTACATGTCCCTGCTCTGTGTTGCTTCTTATGTGAATCACCCTGTATATGGTATAACTATTTCCAATATTGTCATAAAAAAACCATATTTGTATAGCAACCTTAGCGATGTTGGATGGTATCATCTAGTTGATGTCTTGTAAAGTAAACCAAACGTACAACACAATAGCGAGATATTTGAAATTGGTGATTAATTAGAAAAAATTAAATTACTTCTTATACTTGCTGTTTAAATATTTATTGATACCGGTTTCGAAGTTTTACTTCATCATAAGTCAAAACCTTAATTAAATGAAATAACAAAACAAAATCAAAAACATCGTAATTAAACCAAAATTTCTTTTTCCATTTTACTCACGTCAAGTCCTAAAAAATGTAGATCGTCATAGAACCACACACGTTGAAAAATTAAACGTTCATCTAACAAAATATCACTACATAAATGTCGAAACAATATCTTATAGTTAACACATTAAATATTGTCTAAAGACAAAATGAAATCGAAAACTTACACAACAGAAAATCAACAAGAGTATAAGAAGTAATTTAATTTTTTCTAATTAATCACCAATTTTAAATATTATCTAAGAGCTTGCAACATGGATTCAAATAAGACAATAGCGAGACATTAGAACTTATAGTTTATACCAGCTTTATATTGACATAATTGGCTTTACATCGCCTCGCCCGCATCTCTCCCAGCAATTACCTATTTCTTTTAATTTTCTTTTTTCTATTTGCAGCAAATTATCACGAAGATATAGCGCAGATATTATCATTCCTGAACCCATTAAAAAGAGAGCAAGCGTTACACCTCTTAACTTAAAAGATAATAATCATTTAAAATCTTGGAAATCTCCAAAAACGCCCTCAGAGACTCCGTCAAAAAGAAAATCACTTCGGAATTCGGTGATTTTACGTAGTGCTATGCAACAGCAGAAACACCAAAATTTTCAAAACGTTTCTCCCAGTACAAATACGTTTAATAAAATGTTATCTCCTGATAAAAGCTGTGACAACGAAGTCCTTCAAACGCCCTCCACTAACAAAGTGATAGCATTAACACAAAGTTGTTCTCCAAGAACATTACAAATGATGCAAATCGCTTCAAAATCTTCCACATTACAAAGTAATAAGAAACGAAGAAGAACTGAAAACTTAATTATACCTAAGAAAATTAATGATGTGGAAAGAAGAAGATCGGATTTCCAAGAGTTTTTAGATGAAGGAAATAATACATCTTTTAGCAATTATAAAGAAAGCACAAATCAAGATAATGAAATATTACCCAACTTTTATATACGCGGGAAAATAAATCGCAGAAAAACCAACATAAGTCTTGGACAATCAACATCCACTCCAATACAAGTAACTTGTAAGAAAAGAGCAGCATCAGAATCAAAAGTTAGTACAAGATACGCTCAAATTGAGCGGGAAGAAAATGTAAATAAAGAAAATCGAAATTTATTGGAAGAACTATTTGATTTAAGTCGCGATGCTTTAAATATAGAATCACCTCAAAAATCACCAAGAACTATTCAACAATTAAGTACAGAACGACATTTACTTGTTAACGCAATATTTGGGAATCATAACAGCACATTATCTGGGTCCCCTATTTTCTCTAAATCATCTAAATCGATTAATGATGAAAATTATACACCGCAATATGAAGACGTTTCCATGGTTGATGAGGAAGAAGAAGCACCTAATAAATTAGAAGTTTCTGGAATCGAACAAATCGAATCAATGTCCGAAGTTCCGCGCGAATCGTTTCTATATAATTCTTCACAATCAGCTGTCAAAGAAACGTTTAGAAATTCTCCCATTGATTTTCGTTTAAAACAATTATTTCAGAGAAGTCCTGTTAATGATTTGTCCAATGAAGAAGGAGAGAATGTCAGAGATGAAGCAAAAAGGGTTAAAAAATTGTTTGAGAAGAGAACCCCAAAGAATAACCTTGATGATGTTGAGGGCGTTAAAAATTTATTTAAGCTACGAAATTCGCCAAAAAATGATTTAACTAACGTAGAGGGTGTCAAAGACATTATGCGGAGAAGAACTGTGTTTAATAATTTAGATGAAGCAAAAGGGGTTAAAAAATTATTTGAGAAGAGGACTCCAAATAACAATCTTGATGATGTTGATGGCGTTAAAAATTTATTTAAGCTACGAAATTCGCCAATAAATGATTTGACTAACGTAGAGGGCGTCAGAGACGTTCTGCGGAGAAGAACAGTTTTTAATAATTTAGATGAAGTAAAAGGGGTTAAAAAATTGTTTGAAAAGAACACCCCAAATAATAATCTTATTGATGTTGAAGGTGTTGGCGATTTATTTAAGCGTCAAAACACGCCGCGAAACGATTTAACAGATGTTAGAGGTGTTAAAAGAATGTTGGAACTACATACTCCAAGGAATGATTTGGAAAATGTTTCTTTAACAAACTTATATTGCGACGAAAATATGGTAGAAACTCCTAAATTGAAAACAACAAAAATAAATCCAAATAAAAGTGGAATAAAGGATTTATTTAGGCAAAGCGATGAAGAGGAAGAAATTGTACCAAAAGGAAGACCCTCTCAGGATACTTTCGATGTATTAATTGGACGTTCATTTTATAAAACATACAAACCAAATTTAAAATTTGAATCACCAGACGATTCAAAGTCTAAAGTCATGAATGACAGCATGACAGAAGCTTTTGAATCAATGAAAAAAAAACGAAAGATTTCGAAATCATTAAGAACGTCAATGAAGGAGGACGGAGAAAAATCGATTTTAAATACTTCCGCGGATATTTTCCGTGTAAAGACTGATTGCGACTCATTGTTTATTACACCGGGTGTTGAGAAAACGTCAACTCCTATATTGAAGTATGAAAAACGAATGAAAAGAAATTTAATTGATGAAGATAATAAAGATAAAGAAAACGAAGCATCAATGGTAAATGACAATAAAGTTATTAATGAAATTAAAATAAATAATCCACAAGAATATGGGGATTTGAAATTTATTGAAAAAATTGATGATGACTTTAAAGATGAAATTAAGAATGAATTTAAAACAACGAAGACACAAAAAAATAAAGAATTAAGTACATCTAAGACAATAATTAATAAAGATGAGGCTCCTATTAGAAGAACTAGAAGAGGTTTACAAATGCTTAAAAATGAGACACTTAAGGCAACTAAATTTGATGAAGATAATAAAGCTATGGATGAGAATAACAAAACTATTGATAAAAATTCCAAAGAGAAAGCTTCTGTTAGAAGAACTAGAAGAGAATTACAAAAATTGAAAGATGAGAACATTGAAGAAATCAATAAAGAGAAGGTTCTTACCAGAAAAGCAAGGCGAGATTTAGAAAAGCTCAAAGATGACACACTTAAGGCAATTCAAATTGATGAAAATAACATAGAGAAGGTTTCTGTTAGAAGAACTAGAAGAGGTTTACAAAAGTCTACAAAAGATGAGACATATGACGAACTCAATACAGTTGAAAATATTGATGATACCAAACCAATGAAAACTCCTGTTAAAAGGGCGAGAAGAGGTGTACAAAAATTGAAGGACGAAATAAACTCGGATAAAACCATTGATGAGGTTCAGATAAAAAAGACTCCTGTTAAAAGACGTAGAAAAGCTTCATTACAAAAAGTTGAAACTGATAAAACATGCGAAGAGATTAAAATGGATGATAATATGGATGAAGTTAAAAGTAGGAAGACTCCTAGACGAGGAAGGAAGGTTATAAAAGAATTAAAAGGTGAAATGGAGGAGGAAACAATTAATATGGATGAAAATGTTGATAAAAGCAAAGTGGATGATAACGTGGACGAAATTAAAAGTAAGAAGACTGCTAGACGAGGAAGGAAGGTTGTAAAAGAATTGAAAGGTGAAATGGAGGAGGAAACAATTAATATGGATGAAAATGTTGATAAAAAAAAAGTGACTAGACGAGGTAGAAAGATTACACAAGAATTGAAAGATAAGATGGAGGAAACGATTAATATGGATGAAAACAAAATAGTGAAGAAATCTCCCGTTAAAAAAACAAGTAAAGGCTTACAAAAACAAAAAGATGAAATCAAAATAGATGATATCAACGAAATTAAAACTAACAAGACCCCCATTAAAAGAACAAGAGCAGCAAAACAAAAGTTGAAAGATGAAACAGAGAAAGAAACTAACACAAAGAATGAAACTCCCATAAAAAAACCAAGAAAAGGTACAAAAAAATTAAATTCTGAAACACAAGAAATCTCACTGAATGAAAACGTTGATGTAATAAAATCGGAAAAGGCTCCAATTATAAAAACTAGAAGGGGTGGTCAAAAATTGAAAGACGATACACTTGAAGATGATGGTTTGAAAACTCGTTCAACTCGCCGCAATGCTAACAAAAAAAATGATGAAAATTCGAATGATGTAGAGAACAAAGATTCAGAAGAAGTTGCGTACAATGGAAGTAGTGAATGTGAAAATATGGTTAAGAAAAGGACAAGAAATGTTTTAAAAGGTGATAAAAATGGGGTTGATGATGGTGATAAAGTGGAAGAAAATGAGAAAAAAGAATCTTTACCAACACTTCGTTCTACTCGTCGTAATGTTAGGAAAGTGAATGTTTAAAAATGTATAAACAGAATATTTAAATGTTTATTTTTTTGTGAGTTATGCTTATTTGTAAGTAAATTTTATATGATTTAAATAAAAGTTTTATTATATAATTAATATTAATTATCATCATTGGCTCAAAAATCCGTTATTGATCCTGGTACCAAAAGTCTCTTCAAGACCCTTCAGGATTTTAATTGCCACAGGGGTTTTATATGATATGTCATTAATTAAAGACATTGCTGAGTATGCCTTAATTTAAGGTAATCTTGTAATAGTAATGTAAGTTGGAATAGATTGCAATAAAATTTAAGCGGAAAAAAATTGAAGGACGAAATAAACTCGAATAAAACGATGAGGTTCAGACAAAAAAGACTCCTGTTAAAAGACGTAGAAAAGCTTCATTACAAAAAGTTGAAGAGGAAAGTAGAGGTGCCAAAATATGAAATTCAAAAGATTTACAAAAACAAACTGATAAAACATGCGAAAGAGATTAAAATGGATGAAGTTAAAAGTAGGAAGATTCCTAGACGAGGGAGGAAGGTAATAAAAGAATTAAAAGGTGAAATGGAGGAGGAAACAATTAATATGGATGAAAATGTTGATAATAACAATGTGGATGATAACGTAGACGAAATTAAAAGTAAGAAGACTGCTAGACGAGGGAGGAAGGTTGTAAAAGAATTGAAAGATGAAACGGTGGAGGAAACAATTAATACGGATGAAAATGTTGATAAAAACAAAGTGGATGATAACGTGGACGAAATTAAAAGTAAAAAGACTGCTAGACGAGGAAGGAAGGTTGTAAAAGAATTGAAAGGTGAAACGGAGGAGGAAACAATTAATATGGATGAAAATGTTGATAAAAACAATGTGGATGATAATGTGGACGAAATTATAAGTAAGAAGACTGCTAGACGAGGAAGGAAGGTTGTAAAAGAATTGAAAGATGAAACAATTAATATGGATGAAAATGTTGATAAAAACAAAGTGACTAGACGAGGTAGAAAGGTTACACAAGAATTGAAAGATAAGATGGAGGAAACGATTAATATGGAGGAAAACAAAATAGTGAAGAAAGTGGATGGAAAATACCGGTCGTTTTTAGTGTGGTGTGAGGGACCACATTGTTATCGTACTCTGTGCGCAATGGATGAGCGATCGCGTTACTTAAGTGAGTTTGGGCGAGGAATGTTTGTGGGTATGCACATTGAGGGTGTATCGTTCCGTGAAATTGCGCGTCGTCTCGAGCGGTCGTTATCGGCAGTGCAACGGGCATGTCGAGAATGGTCTGAGGTAGGACATAGGTACCTACAGCCGCGGCCGGGACGGCCCTGCGCGTCCCCAGCACACGAGGATGGCACTCTTGTGCTCAGCGCTTTAGCGTCGTGTGCGTCCTCCTCAAGGCAACTTGGAGCTGTTTGGCCACCGGCAGGGCAAGGCGCACTCACTACGCGAACAGTACGGCGGCGTTTGGTAGATAGTGGACTGGCGCGCGCGTCGTGCGATACAGCGGATTGCAGTAACACCCANTGAATAATTCTTTGTGAACAAAAGGTTTTTGGCTGGAATGTATGGTTGACTGAACTGGTTTAATGTCAGCAAAAGATGATTTTAAACGTGATAATAATGGTTCAGTTTCAATTGATGGTTCGGTAGGTAAGAAAAATTCTCCTGGTAATCTGAGTTGCTGACCATAAACCAATTCAGCGGATGAGCAACCTAAATCCTCCTTTAGGGATGACCTGAGACCTAGGAGAATCAAAGGCAAGTCATTGTTCCATCTAGTAGAATTACCTCGAGCAATAATCGCTGATTTCAAAGTACGGTGAAATCGTTCAATCATACCGTTACTTTGTGGGTGATAAGCAGATGTGTGTATTTGATGAGTACCTAAAAATAATTGGAATTTTGAAAATAATAGTGATTCGAATTGTCGTCCTTGATCGTGAGTGATCATGGTAGGAATACCGAAACGGCTGAAGTAATGCCTGAAAAGAGTATCTGCAATAGAGGCTGCAGAGATATCTTTTAGAGGAAAAGCCTCTGGCCACCGTGTGAAACGCTCAATGACTGTGAGCAGATAAGTACATCCAAGAGATGGAACAAGTGGGCCAACCAAATCAATGTGAATGTGTTCAAATCGAACTTTTGGAACTTTGATTTTGAGAATTGGCGATTTTGTATGCCTTTGTATCTTAACTTTCTGGCATTGTAAACATGATTTTGTCCAAATACGAATTTGTTTCGACATATGATGCCAAAAGAATTTTGTTTTTATTAAATAAATGGTTGCTCGAATGCCAGGGTGAGATAAACCATGAAATTTTTCTATAACTATTTCTCTAAATTGAATGTAAATTCGCGGAGATTCCGTTGATATTTCACACCATAATTTGATATCAGGTAGCGTTGTGGGTTGTAGCAATAACTGATAGGGTGTTGTAGTGTAAGTGAGAAAATTGTTTATGTAGTAGGTTCGACAATTCGATATCTGTGACTTGAGCTTTGTAAAGTGTAAGTGTGTCGGGGTACTGAGAATTTAGGGATTCAATATTTGTCCTGGACAAAGCGTCTGCAACAATATTGGAATTTCCCTTAATGTATCTCACATCGGATGTATATTGTGTTATGTAATTTAGGTACCTGGTTTGTCGTGGTGTTTTTTCTGTTGATGAAAATATTGCCGTAGTTATAGGTTTGTGGTCGGTGAAAACTGTAAAATTGTTTCCGTGTAGGAAATGATTAAAAAATTTTATGGCAGAATATATTGCCAATAGCTCTCTGTCGAACGTTGAAGCCTATTTCTCAATACAACTACCTAATTTGACATGAATTTTTAGGTCCGTTGAGAATGATCTAACGCAATTCTGAAAACTTGAAACTTGCTTTGGTGGTAAAACCCATCTTAGGAATTCAATAATCGTTTTCTCCTTGTTTTGAACTCCTTGATACATTGAAAACCGGCCGAGTTCGTTTAGTTCCTCAGCGCATTTGCACGTTACCACAACGAAATGTCTTCGTTCTTAACCTACATTTTATTCACCACGATTTTAATCCAGTTAAGTTTAAAAATAAACGGTACGTATATTATACTTAATTATTTTTTTATCATACAAATAAACAAACGTATTATTTAANCTCTCGCTACAATACAGCGACTTATAGACTCCATGCCACGTCGTGTAGCGATGGTACGCGAAGCTCACGGGGGATACTCTCGCTATTGATGTTTCATCTTCCAGCAGAGTTGTGCCGCTCTCCATGTGAGAGTAAGTTACACTACTTTAGTACTACTTCCATACCAAATTTTATTTCGCTAGACACACGCGTTCAGATTATACAAGGTGTGCTCGTGAATTATTTCCAACAGTGTATGATATGTCATTAATTAACAGTGTTGTTAAATACCCGGGTATTTATTTTCAATGGTAAATATCCTGGATATATACCCGGGGGTATTTACCCAAGATGGGTATTTTGAGGTATTTATACATTTAATTTAAATTGAGTTGATGGCAGTTTTGCAAGCACTTCAAGAATGAAGAGGCGCTTATCGAAATACCAAACTTATTTATAACATCTATAAGAATGCTACAATGACGGTAAAATTGCATGAAAGTACTGAAGAGAGTAAAAGTAGTAAAGTACTGATTGTGAGTAAAACAAGGACACTGTTGAACTCAAATTGTTCATCACAGTCCTCAGAGTGCATTTAAACAACTAGACCCAAAAAGGCATAAACATTGATTGCAAATGCTTAAATAATTTGGGCTACGCGGACGATATAGTTCTTATATCGGATAGCCTTGGAGAGATTAAACTAATGATGAACGACTTAAAGGAGGTGTGTGCAAGAGTCGTGCTAAATATCAACAAGGAGAAATCAAAATTTATGATAAATCTTGTTCCCAGCTCTAACATCAACATTGGGGATAATGAGATTGAAAGGGTTCACAGCTATGTATATCTTGGCTATGAGGTTCGTGTATCGAGAGATAATCAAACAAGCGAACTAAACAGAAGAATCTTAGAGACATCTTCAAGAGAAAAGGCCAAGAAAGGCTTTCAATCAATGCTTGTTTCCGGTTATGACATAAGGCTCCGAAACTTTAACATTAACGGTAACCACTGCCAGGAGGGTCCAAGTAGCGCAAAGATAGATGGAGAGGTCGATCCTGGGTCTAACTCTNTTCTCTGTAAAAAAGTGTCCATATAATGTCTTAGTTATAATACTCCACCTATAATAATAACCAAGATAATTACATTTGCGGGTTTTACGATATTTTCAATTTTGGCCTCTAGCGGAAAAACAAAAGACGATAGCGCTATGAGCTTTTCAGCATTAGCAGTTTCTCGAAAAACGAGATCATGACATGTCAGCTACTTTTCTTCTAACTCTTATAGTTTTCGAGTTAGCCTATTCGGACATCGAATTTGAACCACCTTGTACATCTAAACGTCGAGGACGACAAAACGACAAAACGACAAAAAAATGAAATACAATTTTATGTTTTTAAATGGAGCTGCTGCCACAGCACGCTACAGTAATGTAAGTTGGAATGGATTGCAATAAAATTTAAACGGAAAAAAATTAATCATATTTTTCTTCAATTATATTATTTACAATAAAAGTAATATGATATTGTTAACAGTGAATAGAAGCTTATAGATAACGCTTGAATGTTGGTACCAGAACCTTTCCTGAAAAACGAATAAATGCATTTAATAATAATTGCGTAAATCAACAAAATATTAAGTTATAAACATTACTTGAAAACCGGATTGGATTATAAAACTGGATTAAATTGAATTACATAAGCAATATAAATTGCAATAGATAAAAAATTAATTTTATAATTCCGTTAAAAACAGAGTAATTCATCATAATTGCAATTCGGAATCTTACAAGAAGCTTAAAAACTGCAGATTAGATAAGATCCCGACATTATTGTGATTACAAAATCTTGATTAACAAATATATCTTACGAACACATGGTGTGACCATTTCCAACGCAAGCGGCAAAAGCCATTGCATGGGGGATATAATTTTGTTCAACCGAACCGGTAAAAAGATGTGCCCAAGGGCCAGTAGCAAAAATTGCAACGTCATCACCTCCATGGGTCTCAGAATCTAACGGAGCCATTGCCGGAAACATTGCGTCCTTTCCACCTGACGTAAAACAACGAAATTAATAAATAAATAATTGATACATAATAAATTTTACTTAAATCGTCTTCTCTATAATCAGGTCTTCCATTTTCGTCGTAATCTTTATAACCAGGTCCATTCGCGTAGCTTAAAGTCGAATATCCTTTATTATCATCGGCTATATCGGCTATTCCAAAAATGTTGTTTCCTCTGGATGGATAACCGTTAACTGTAAAAGAATGGGCATGATCGGCGGTGACTACAATTAAAGTATCTTCTTCGTTGGTCATTTCTTTGGCTTTTTGAATAGCTTTTGCAAATTCAACGGTTTCATCTAAAGCTTTCATCGCTAAATTATCGTGGTGGGCGTGATCAATTCTTCCACCTTCCACCAACAAAAAGAAACCTTTATTTTCTTTCGATAAAATATTAATCGCAACTTCCGTCATTTCTTCTAACGAAGGATCTTCATCGTTTGCGTCTAAATGATACGCACAATGGGAGCTTTCGAATAATCCAAAAACATAATCGATTTCGTTGGGTAACGATTTTAATTGGGATTTATTCCAAATATATTGTGATGTTTCTTTAAAGCCATCTTTTTCTTTTTGTTCTAACCATTGATTAATTAAGTTTTTACTATCTTTTCTTTTTCCTGGATCATCTTCTGGACCATTTTCAGTTTCTGGGAAAAACATTCTTCTCCCACCGCCCATAATTACGTTTAAATTTTTACCGGTTTCAGATTCAATTAATTGTACCGCTATATCTTGGCAATCTTCGGGCATTGGTTCGGTTTCATCGAAATATTCTGCAACGTCACATTCCCAATTTCTATGTGCTGTGTGGGCATAAATTGCTAAGAAGAGAATTAATGGTAATTTTATATTTTAATTGTTATATTAAACCTGATGGGGTTGCATGAGTAACTCTTGTCGTTGTAACCAACCCACTTTTTTTACCATCCAATTGAAACCATCTGGCGATGGAGTCAACTCGATTCTTTTCTTCCAAACTCGCTGTGCAATTTGCTAAATTAACGGAAGCTGTAACACCAGCTGTGTCATAGTTAGCTTTAATACCGCAAAGGAATGCAGTTGCTGTGCAGGCTGAATCAGGAACTTGGGTATCAACACAATAAGTCTGTAACAGAAACGATTAAATTAAAAGATTGAGAAGATTTTAAATGGGTTTACTCTGGAAAGTGCTGAATAAGGAAATTCTTCGAAATATAAAGGGGCTTCTTCGTGCTGAGTTTTTAATATTTCTTGGCCGTAATAGATTCTGGTAGCTTTTAAAGTTGGGATGGATAATCCATCGCCCAAAAAGAAGATTATATTCTTCGCTTGGTCTTTAATTTATATATAATTACAAAAATAAAATATTATTTATTTATTTTTCTTACTCGTATTAATTTTTGTGTTATATTTCATATCGAGAAAATCTTGTGCTTGATTTATCCAATATTCTTGAGTTAACTCTTCTTCATTGATTTTCGATGTAGGTTTAATAATTTTTCTGCGATGCATATCACCTTATTAAAATAATTATAAGTATAAAAAAGAAATGGATATGAAAAATTTACCTGTGTCTCCAAAACTAATTAAAATTAAAATAATAAAAACCCGCCACATTTTATATTTAATTTTAAACTGTCTCCATGAAAAATGAGTCATATACGTTTAGTGGACTCTTTATAGATTTATTTGTTATCTGATTTCGATATGTTCACATCAAAATAAATTATTTACGATAATCTGAACTAATTTTGTGATTAAATTAACACATTTTATAAATAGTCGGCACCAAATTAACAAATTATGTTTGTTCAATTGAAGCTTAAAGATTTAAAATATTAAAGAAGAAATTGTCCAGTTTGTAAATCAAATATAATACGAATTTTCAAAAAATCATATCGACTATATTTTTAAGAATCTTGATATGAATCTCGACTATAAATAATAATTATGTTTACATCGAAGGTTACAATATTTTTCGAACCGAAAAATATACGTAAGTGATAAAATTAAAGCGAATAGCTTGAACACTAATAATATTATTGAGCAAACCTGGGTGGAAATGAAAATAAAATCAAAAGTTGTTATAGTAGGTGCGGTTTATCGTCCACCAAATTTAAATTATAATGAATTTCTTAATGCTTTGGATGCTGTTTTTTCCGATTTTTTGCCGATGTGTGACGATATTTTTCTCTTGGGTGATATGAACATCGATTTATTTTCTTGCTCTAACCCTGCCACTGAAAAGCTTTTGAGTTTTCTTGAAGCGTATAGCTATAAACAGGTTATAAACACTCCTACTAGAGTCTCTTCTTCTACTTTTTCCTTAATAGATCTAATCATAATTCCTGAATCAATATCGCTTATCGGTGACTCTGGCACTGTTGATTTAAATAATATTTCTGATCACTTTCTTGTTAAATGTACTCTGTCGATGGCAGTTGAACGTGAAACTTATCCAATATTTAGAACAGTCAGGGATTATTCGAACTTTAAACAAGAGGATTTTGATAATGATTTGCGCTCCATTGATTGGCATGTAATGTATCAGTTGACTGACATTAACGATAAACTAAATTTTTTCAATACACATTTAGTTTATGTATTTGATACACATGTGCCAGAGAAGATTATTAAAATCTCGCAACCTTGTGCTGCTTGGCTAACTCCGGTTGTTAGGACTATGATGCATTTAAGGGATAAAGCATTGAATCGTTACAAAAATACTAAGGCACAAGAACATTGGGAATACTACAAGTCGCTAAGGAACTATGTTACATCCGCGGTACGTAGGGAACAGAGGGTTTACATGAATACTATTTTTCAAAATAAAAATACTCGCGATTTATGGAAAACATATAATAAGTTGGGCATTGGGCCTAAGCATAGACCTTCTGTTCCTGAACGTTTGTGTGATGCAGATGAATTCAATAATTATTTCCTGAACAATTCAAATAATAACATCGATCATGATTTATTACAATATTATAACAACACTACGTTACGAAATTTTAAAGAATTGTTTGCTTTTCATACTGTAACACCGAGTGAAGTTTCTAAAGTTATATCATGTATTCACTCCAATGCCGTTGGAAGCGATCTTCTTGGCATAAATACAATAAAAATGATTACGTTCTTATTACATTCTTATTAGATATGATTACGCATATCATTAATACATGTCTCTTGGAAGCCATTGCCGAAAGTTAACTCTCCTAAGTGCTATACTGATTTTCGACCTATAAGTATTTTACCTGCTCTTTCTAAAACACTAGAAAGAATAGTTTGTTCTCAGTTGCGTGAACACCTCTTGCTTTATGACATCATACCTGATAATCAGTCAGGGTTTAGACCGGGTCATAGTTGCAATACTGTACTAATGGATGTTGTGGACGGTGTGTTGCGGAGTGTCGACAAGGGAAATATGCATGCAATGATATTATTAGATTATTCCAAAGCATTCGATATGATAAATCATCATTTGTTGTTAANGTTCATTGGAGACACACAGTTGTTTCTGTACAAAACAAGTAGTATTAAAATAATCTAAATTCAGCCTATAAAAGTATAATTTAAAATAATGTATACTACTTACTTATTAGACGGAAATTCTATAATTTCTTGTATTTGTCGTAGAACATACAAACAACTTTGTTTTGTTAGACGAAATCTTATCTACGTATGCGCTTGAGAACAACTTAAGCACTGGATTTCAAATACTTATATTTGAGAACGTCGTATTGATTTTGAGAATAGGTTACTTGACGGTGCAACGCAAATTCACTACTTAAGCATTACTTAGCCTTTAAGCAATGCTTATGTATTATGGTGCAAACGGGCATCATTCTACGTTCAAAGGAAGCCCGAACTCTTTCAAATAACCCGTAGTTTTCACGAATTGTCTGACAACCCTGTTCTATTCGTTGCCGCAAGTCTTTTTTTTAAGTAGCCCTATAAACAAAAGTCTAGCGGGTTCAAATCCGGCGAACGTGCAGGCCATGCAATGGGGCCTCCTCGTCCTATCCATCTCCCAGGAGACCTTTCATTCAAATGTTGTCTAACAATACGCGTAAAGTGCGGGGGAGCTCCATCCTGCATAAACCAGAGATTTAATCTTTGACTTAACGGCAAGTCTTCCAAAAGTTGAGGTAGAGTGTTTTCTAAGAAATCCAAATATGTTAGACCATTTAATGGTTGTGGTAAAACTATCGGTCCCAACAACCTATCCCCTACGACGCCTAACCAGATATTTAAACTAAAACGCTGTTGATGTCTGGTTTCAACAACGGCTCGAGGATTCTCGTCAGACCACACATGATTATTGTGGAAATTAAATATTCCATTTCTGGTAAACCCAGCTTCATCGGTGAAAAGTATGTTAGCTGAGAATCCTCGACGTTCAGCAGCTTCTCGTAAAAACCACTGACAGAATGTCAACCATGCGTGGTAATCCGGAGGATTGAGGGCTTGGACACGTTGGATAAATAAGTTGCTCATGGAGAGTTTTCCAAACAACATATCCACTTGTACCCACTTGAGCCAAAATTCTTCTCACACTTGTATCGAGATTTTCAGCAACTGTATTTAAAATTTGTTCTTCCGGTGTACATACGGACCTCTGCCGTCCGGTATTACCTTTTTTTAAACGATCCAGTTTCTTTAAGACGGTGAAAAAGTGACTGAAACGTAACATGTGAAGGTAGCCGGCGATTGGGAAATGTTTCAGCATAGAAACGACGTGCCCTCAAACTATTTCCATTGGCATAGCCGTACATAAACACCATATCGCTCATTTCAGCATTTGAATACAAGACCATTGCAAACGATCTCATTTCAGGTTTCGCAAAATCAAATTAATGTATGTATCTTAGCAGATTATACGTAAGGCAAAGCCTACTCCTTGTAATGGCAACATTTTGGTAACTAATGGCCGTACACTTGGCATAACATTTTGTAATGGAATAACTTATACCAACTGGAAGCAATGGAAACATCATACTACTCTCAAAAAGAGACAGTTTCATATTGCATCGATTTGTGAAACTTATAAAAACCGAAAGAAGGTTGTGTCAATCCAATTCTTTTAATAATTTATTTTAAAAAATGTTTTTTTTTCTCGGAAACCTTAAGGAGTACACATTTTTTTTTCGAATTAATGTTGTTTAGAATTAAGGTATCTGACTAATTGTTAAATAAAATTTTTAAATTTTCTGAAAAATAGTGGTATTTATTTTCACTTCCGGTCTAACCGGAAACAATGGAAACATCATACTATTCTCAAAAAGAGACAGTTTCATACTGTATCGATTTGCCAAGTATCAAAGCTGTAATAGTTATAGTTTAAAAGGAAAAACGTAGTCCCAAAAAAATTTAACATCCTGTATCTCGAAAACGGTTGATTTTCGGACCCATGTTGATTAACACTTTTCGACAAAACGAAATAATATTTAAACGTTGTTTTAAAACACCCTGTATTTGTTCAATTGAACAAACAGAGATTCTAGTTTATAATATGATATAAAAACTATAAGATATTATTATTGAAATTTCCAAGAAGAAAATAACAAAGAAGAAATTGTCCAATTTGTAAATCAAAAATAATACGAAATTTTCAAAAAATCATATCGATTGTGTTTTAAGAATCTTGATATGATATACAGGATGTCTCAGCGAGACCGGTCATTAGACGTTTCTGGGGTTCTGGCGAAAATAAAAATTTGAGAATTCAGACTTAAGTATTATCAATTACGATCTCTTCGTCTAAAATATTTTCAGATTTCTAGCACTTCCGGTTATACCGGAAGTCGCCACCTACTTTATTTTTTTAAATGGAACACCTTGNTCTAATGTGATAGTATTTGGTAACAGAAATCATAGGAAATTTGTTGATGACAATCTTAAAATTTGTGTAAATAATCAAGAACTACAACACGTACGCACTGTGAAAAATTTGGGTTTGTTAATAGATGATGATTTAAAATTTAATTCACATATAAACAAGTTACTACAGAAATCATATTGCGTATTAAAATCCCTTTATCCATATCGGCATGTATTAAATGAGAACAGTAAAAGATTACTGACTGATTCTTTGATTTTATCCAATTTTAATCATTGTGACTCGGTCTATGGTGCTTGCATAACTGGGGACAATCGAAGGCGGGTGCAGTATGTCCAAAATGGGTGCTTAAGACTAATTTATGGAATTCGAAAGTACTGCAGAATTTCACATAAGTTAAAAGAATGTGGGTGGCTAAATATGTATAACAGAATCATTTTTCACAGGGGAGTAGTTTATTTTAAAATTTTAAATAAAAAAACACCTGTTTATCTGAGCAAGAAGATATCGTATCGTACTGACATCCACAATATCAATATTCGTCGAAAAGATGCACTTACAGTTCCTCGTCACGCGTCGGCGTCATTTCGGAATTCTTTCACTTATTGTGTGACAAACTTTTGGAATACCCTTCCTCGTTCATTAAAAATATTGAGCCTGTCGAGTTTTAAATATAAATACAAGCGATATCTCTGTGAGCGGCAGATGGAATCAATTTAGGTTTTCTAGAGTAAAATTTTAATTTTTATTTGTTATTTGCTTTATTCATGCATTCAATTTTTGTTTTTTGTATTTTTTGTCTTGTGCGCTGTATTCATTTTCACTACTTACTTACTTAGAAGCAATATGTTGTGTTCATGGGGACTGGGGGAAGAGCAGACCTCACTACTTTGTGGTGTTGTCTGACCCAGCCACCTGTTAGCCTTTGTAATTTTGTTTTTGTAACATTATACATATTTCTTATTATTATTATGTTTTTGTATTTTGTTTTTTTTTATACTTGTACACTAATTGTAAGAGTTAATAAAGGCATTATTATTATTATTATTATTATATGTATATGTTAAATTGTAGCTTAAAGAGTTTAGTTTACGGTATGATATTATAAAACTATAAGATAGTATTGAAATTTCCAGGAAAAAATTATTAAAGAAGAAATTGTAAAATTAATGAATAAGAAAATACGAAATTTTCAAAAATCATATCGACTGTATTTTTAAGAATTATGATATGATATGTATGTTAACTTAAATTGAAGCTTAAAGATTCTAGTTTATGATATGATATTAACAATATAAGATAAAAGGTTTGGAAGCTTTTATTTTATATACACGTCATGTAGAAGTTACCTCAAAGTTAATTTAAACACTCTTTTACTTATAACCATTTATTAAGTGATGAAATGTTATATTTACAACAATTACAATAGGTTCATATTTATGTAGGGTATAAAACACATAACTTTTTTATTTTACATATTTTCTACAACATTCATAAAGATTTTTTTGCTTAAAATAAATAATACAGATGCCAACAATAGATATGTGTAGATTAGGTTATCCCCGCAATGTTATTTACAAGATAATATTTAATTTAAAGCTACGATTTAACGTTTTCAACGCGGCCACTTAATCATGTGGGAACCCTGTCTTTTTTTCGTTTGATGTATTTTATGGTGAGTTATTTTTATTTTTCATATAATCACATTACTGACTAGACATTTATGAAGAAATCGTTAGTAAACGGAAAGATATCGACAGCGTCAATGAAATTATTAGTTCGTATATTTATTAAAGACGTTAAGCTTACAGTTTTCCCCTTTGTGTAATCGAAACATTTACGAGTACAACATTGATAAATACATCGGGGTAGAAATCACAATATAGATAGTATTTTTCGTTTAAGATCACAGTGGAATATTTACAGATGAATCGTTTTTATTTACAGGAAGGATTAAGAATATTCAGAAAGTATTTACAAATACAGGAAAAATTGAGCTATAGTATATGAATGGTCTTGGAATGTTACAAGTTAAACATTATCCAAATCTCTTATTATTTCTTTCATATTTTTCTAAAAGAATATAGACAATATTTTATCTAGCATTGTCGTGAGCATTAAACTTCCAATACAGAACTAACACTAACACATCATTAGAACTAATACTAGGGAGTACAGGGTGGTTCAAATTCGATGTCCGAATAGGCTAACTCGGAAACTATAAGAGTTAGAAAAAAAGTAGCTTACATGTCATGATCTCGTTTTTCGAGAAACTGCTAATGCCGAAAACCTCATAGCGCTATCGTCTTTTGTTTTTCCCCTAGAGGCCAAAATTGGAAATATCGTAAAACCAGCAAGTGCAATTATCTTCGTTATTATTATAGGTGGAGTATTATAACTAAGACATTATATGGACACTTTTTTACAGAGAATTGGATGAAGTAGTCAAAAAAATTTTTTCGGTTTTAGATTTTGAGATATTATCACAATTTTCGTTTTTTTAAAT